ATCTGTCAGAGTCAGGGAATATGTAGATAAGGCAGAGAGTTTCAGAGCCTGCAGAGCCTGGAGATGCCCACTGTCCTCCAGCTACTGTGCTCCCCTCATTTATTCTTTTAGAGAAGTAGAGGGCAAAAGACAGCCCAGTCTCATTTCTGATCACTTCTACTCCTGCCACTTTCTTCAACCCCTTAGCACTTGAGTGTACAAATGCCAAATGAAATCCATTATCAGGTAAAAACTCACTGGCAGGAAACCAACCTGAGTACTTGTTAAGAAGTCTAGAACTACAATTACTGAAAAGTAGTTTTTGCCTTTCGACTGATTCCGTCTCCCAAATCTTGATAGCTAATAAGGTGAACACTTGAAAATCCAAGCTCACTCTACTGTATGTTTAAACAATTATAGTAAAGAAAGGATACCTAGCTTCTCTTCCTTCTCAGGTCTTCCAGGTCCAATACCTAACCGCTGCCTCTTGTCCCAGCCTACCCACAGCAGCTTCTCATTAAGATACTGGAAACAACTAGAGGATGAACGTATCATCTCGCCTCCTCATTTTACAGCTGGTTTGCCTGACAGTTGTGCAGAAAACCTATGGTCCCTCTTGTCTTAATTCCACCACTTTAGCATATGTTCCTTTAAAGGCACAAGGACCTCAACTCTCAAGGAACTGAAAGAGCTGCATCCTGACAACCATACACAATACAGTTTTAATCTTTTTGTGTGTGTGGTGAAAGGAGTATTGCTTTTTGTGGGGAAGTGATCCAATAGGATATGCAAACCAAATGAAGGGCGTGAATGAAAAAGTACCAGCTGAATTTTCAGCCCCTTCTCCTAGATGTCTTAAAAATGTACCTAGCACCAGACTGGTACTTTTGCACACATCCCAACAACTCCACCGCAGCCAGGTAAGGCAAGATTCTTAAAGGATTGAAGAAACTACAGTCAAATACACCCTTGGTGGCAGAGTAAAAATTCACCTTCTCTGCAGAAGAACTGAAAAGATACAGAAATGCAATATGGAGAATCCAAAGCCATTTACTCAAATCTTGGCTTTAGAGATCGGAAACAAAAGGAGAGCAATTGGTGCACTCCTCAAATCCTGATCTTTGCCTCAAATTCCTGATGACATTACAGCTAACAGGGAGCACCTTTCACCTACTCTGTAAGCTCGGAAGCTCTAGGAGGGGGAGCAAGTATTTCCTGGATGCCTATAAGGACCGGGTAAGTGACACAACTAGAGCGATTCGTCCCTGCGAAGAGCCGCAATTAAAGATTTCTGTCAGAGCCGATAGGATCGTTGTTGCCGTGACACAGTGTACAAAGCAGTTTCTTCTCTCTCTCCCCGTAGCCCTCGCCTTACTTTTCCCAGGGTTTAAAAATCATGTTAACAATACGCAAACACAGCATGGCCAGATGCCTTTCGTGGTCAGATGGTTCATTGTTTAAAAAGTTTCAGTTTAAAATCCAAAAGATTGTTAACAGATGCAGTTTCTGGCTAGGGACTGGGAAAAACCTCACTTAAACAAAAGAGTATGTTGTGATTGGAACTAAAAAGGGAATTACCTTTAAAGATAAGAACCACAAACATTTCCTATTTGAAAATACCTCCAGCCCCACCAACAGGACCTTTCTGTGGTCCTTTCACGAAAGTTAAACATTTGACAGTGGACTGCGGCATAGGACAAACCATGGCTGAGCAACCAGTCCAGTCGTTTTTACAGATTTGTTTGGACTTTCAACAAGGCCACAACATCCATCTCTTACTCTCCCCCAGATTACTCAATTAGGCAAGCCTCCAATTAATTTCTTTCCAATTCTTTTAGCCCCAGAAATACTTTCGCTGCTTTCATTTTGGCTCTGGAAATGGGTTTTCAACTAGAGACGTAGATAGAGGCAAGTGTGAGAAACGAGCACAGAGCTTGATAAGCAGAGAGCCGCTGCTGGGACTCAAGTCACCATTGGGTGGACAAGAGCCACTTGGCTGAGGAAGGCCTGGCCCCATCCTCAGTTCCCAGTCTCGTTTGCCTCCACAACTGCTGTGCACTTTTACACAGAAAGCCTGCTTTTCACCAACTCATGGGTCTGTTTCTGTTGGCTTTCATGGGCCCTTACTCTATGGCTTCACTATGTGTGAGAATGTCTGTAATGCCCTGGGTTCTAATCTTGAAAGATGGAAAAATCTAAGAAGCCATGAGTCTGTAGCTTTCCCTTGGCCTGAGAAATGGATGTGGTTTGGCTTGCTGGTGACAAGCCTGATTTGAAAAGGCTACCTAAGATATGATCCAAGGAAAACAGTCTGTTCTTAGTAATAAAGATGGCCACCATGGGCTCCATTTTGAGAATGGGCAACCTGTGCCTTAGGAGATCACATTATATGAAGACAAGTAAACATCATGCCCTCTTCACACTTAGGTTTTTGTTCTCGTATTCACTGTATTATTTCCCTATTTATTACAGCGCCCCAAAAGGTCAGTTTCAGACCAAACACAGCAGAGTTTTAACATTGAGAAGCTCTAATCAAGAAAATCCTTAATTTAGCAACAACTAGCAACCATTTTAAAGTGAGGCAGATCTATAACCCCATGGGAATCCCTAAAGAGTTAAAATGGGTTTCTTTTTTTTTTTTTTTAAAGATTTTATTTATTTATTTGAGAGAGAGAGAATGAGAGATAGAGAGCACGAGAGGGAAGAGGGTCAGAGGGAGAAGCAGACTCCCTGCTGAGCAGGGAGCCCGATGTGAGACTCGATCCCGGGACTCCAGGATCATGACCTGAGCCGAAGGCAGTCGCTTAACCAACTGAGCCACCCAGGCGCCCTAAAATGGCTTTCCCACTCAGCCACGCCTCGGCGGTCATGTAAGGAATCCAGGCTGCAGGAATGAAGCCGAGCAGGAGAACTGCACTTCCAAGGATCTGTGCAGTCTGGCCAGGTAGTAGGAGGAAGGGCCCATCCGTCAAGGAACGGGATTCTGAGGCCAGTGGCCACATCCATATCTATCCTCCGACAAAAAGGCAACCTCACCATGTGCACATGAGACAGGGTTTGCAAGGGGATTTGATAGGCCTGGAAATTGAAAAATGAGAAGCAGCTGCATGTCCAAGGTCATTACTATCCTCCAGGGTTTGCCTTTTCTAATCTAAGGGGCAGTAGTTTCCATGATTAACTTTCAATTGCTGTCAAGGGTGTAATAAAATCTGGGAAAGAAGAAAACTTTCCCCTCAGTAAGCTGCTCCCATTTCCCTGCCTGTTCCTTTCCTCCAGGGTATATTCTCAATCCTCACTTCATATTGTTTTCTAATTTTGAGAAAAAACTCTGCACTTGGATGAGCCAAAATAGACAATGTCCTATGTGCATACAGGCACTTGAAGATTTTTCCTTCTCACTACCAGGGGCTAGGTCTTTAAGATGGTCCCTTGTTTTCCAAGACCATACAATTCCATCACTTTCAGAACTGAACCCTTTTTATTTTTAAAATTCTTTTCCAGTGTATTACATCTGTTTCCTGAGCCATGACAATGAGCTCAACAAGAGAGAGCCATGTACAAAGAGAAAAGAGGACAAAGTCATTCACAAACACATTTTCCTGGTTACTACTAGATTAGGAATCCTTAAGACTACAACTTGGTCTGATCTGGTAGCAGCTCAGAAACCATAGAGAGAGGTCACAGCTGGACATGTCTCTCAGCAAAGGCCCCCGGAACCAAACCCCACATGTAGTTTTATCAATTGTAACTACTCAGGTGGAAAACTAATTGTGCTTTCATTTTTTTTTTTTTTTTGATAGTTCAGTATAACACTAATGACAACTTAGTGGTTCACTCATCATACACTTATTTCAATGTGTCTGATGCTGGAGTTACAAAGAGGAGTTAAGCCATGGTGGCTCGCCCACAGAGGCACGAGTCTGGCTGCAGAGGGGTACATGCAGGCTCGATACGGCAGAGATGTTTCTGGAAGGCTGGCACGGCAACCAAACAAGGCAGCAAAGAGGCAGTGGGGCTGAGAGACAGTCACATGGGCAAATGCACTAGTCGCACAAGAAGAGGGTTTTCTGACTGATACTGTGTCTTAAAAGGAAATCGGATTGCTACAGTTTGTTCCTATTTCCTTGGGGCAAGAGTGAGTAACTAGAGTGTCCACTGCCTTGGGGACAGGTAACATTTCCCTTCGGTGCTAAACTGCCCTTCCTATTTACCCCATCTTGATTCAAGTTCCTACTGGAACAGAAGAAAAAGTGGAAAAAGATGGCCATGAACTTGATTGGTTCCAAAAATGGGGTGGGCACAGTCTGCGAATTTGCCACAGGGTTTAAAAGATGGCAGAGTGAACTTTCTTGCAGGAGATACAGTCCATGGGGTGATGCCTACACCATGAGTGCTGGTACCCACTCTGCCCTTCTCCAAAGGTAACAGGACCAAGAACAAAGACTGCTTTCCTTGCAGGTGGGGCCATGTAGCTAACAGCGGGGTGTGAGGGGAATTCAGGTGGATGATTCCCGAGACATGTCCCTAAGAGGGGAGGTGGGGAAGTGTGTTGCCTTCTTCCCCCTTCCTCCATCCTTAGTTTAGAACATGAAATGGCCGAGGTACCCTGGACCATGAGGACAAGGCCACACCCCAGAGTCGATGAAATGGAAAGTTGCTAGGAGATGGGAAAGGAAGATTGAGACCCCAGAACACTACTCCTAATCTACTGAGATACCAACTTTTATGGAAAGAACAGGTGGAAAACTTTGATTTTTGGGTACACCACTATCATTTTGGGTCTCAGTTGCACAGGATTACAAATAATGGTTACAGGTGTGGGGGATATGGGGAGATGTCCAACGAAGTGTTCATAAAAACAATATCCAAAGTGTCAGCACTGTGCCGCATGCAGCAACAAGGCCATGATCTGGTTTGTACATTACAAAGAGCTGTCTGAATTTCAGTGGTGAAAAGGGAGAGCAAAGGGCATGAAAAAATGATCATTTTCCAGTTAACCATAGACACAATGAATCTCTTACCTTTTTCTTGCTACAGTATATTTGCCATTTTTTCTCAGCTGGAAGTGCAAACATGGCTTCCCTGTGTTTGTCTGTCAGGTCAAGTTCATCCTGAGGAGAAAAAAATAATAATTAGTATTTCAAAGATTAAATGTTATTCCTATAGGAGAGGTTATCAGTATCATTAGGGAAAAGAAAAAAAAAAAAACAAACAAAACCCACCAACATATATTTCAATGAACTTGGAAAAGACCAAGAAGGCAAGGTATGTGTTGCCACTGTTAAGAAAGCATGTCTCTGGCATGGGGCTGAGTACCAAGCACAGCAAGGAGGACAAGACTCGCCCTACACCTACCGAAGGGTGTGGGAAAGCGGGCTGGGCACAGACAGAACCCCCGAGCCAGTGTGCTCTGCTGTAGAAGGCCTGGTGAGCATTAAACGCCATCAAAGCTCCAGGAGTTTGGAAGGATTACTCATATTACAGATGGCAGTTCACTAGGGGTGGCTCCACAAACACTGGGTATCAGGCTGGACCTGAAGAACTTGGACATGATGAGAGGAGGAGAGCAACGGAACCAAAGGCGGGGGTGTGAGAACAGATGAGGTGTGTTTGGGGGATAGCGACCGGCTTAGCGGAAGCACTGGAATGATGCAAAGAATTGTCACATGAAAGGTCTGGGAGGTAGGGAGTGACCAGTTATGAAAAGTCATAAATGTCAGAATAAGGAGTTTCTTCTCTTGACCAAGGAGAGCCAATGAAGGTTGTGAGCAAGCACATGGCATCTTCATTGCCATAAATCCCACTAATATTTATTCAGAGCTTTATGCACCAAGCGTTGTGCAGGCATGGTCTCGGTTCCCACAACAACCCTGAGTCCACTCATTATTTTGACCTTGTTGTAGTAACAATGCCTGCTGTAATACAGCTAGGGGAAATTTAGTGGAAGATTGGGTAAGTAACTTGCTCCAGACCACACACCTGGTAATGACAGGGCTGGTTTTCAGCCCGCAGCTGTCAAACTCCAGAACCCAGACTCAGCCTCTCAGATCAGTATCTGGAAACATTAATTTTACAGTGGAGTGCAGCTTAGATTGGACACTAAGGGAAGGCAATTTACAAACATCCATAACTAATGAATAACAACAATAGGATGATGAATATAAAGTGTTTGGAGAAAAGCTCTTGGCATTTAAAAACTCAATCATCCCTGCTGTGTGTTACTGGCATTGAGCGTCTGGTACATTTTTATTACTAGAGGGAAAGTTACCTAGTTGAGGGTGCAGACTGGTGGGTGTGAGGCACATAAAAAGATGCTGTAAATTAAGGCACACTGAGGTTTTGATCCCTGAGGAGCATAAACACGTTCCCCCTCTGAATGCCCTTGGTATATACCTGTAATTCTGCCACTTGTAGACATGGGCTTCACACCTCATAGTCCTACCTCCATTTATCATCAAGTCCTGTCATTTCTTTCGTGAAAGGTGTCACGATTTTTCCTTTTTTTGATTCCCAATGAAACCACCCAAACTTATGCTCTAATAACCGCACCGTTGGCTCCGGGCAATAGCCTCCCCACTGCTCCTCCTTGCCTTTCCAACCCTCCCTACAGCACACCCAGAATTCATTAAAGCAGCGGTACTTAAACCTGAGAGAACCTTGGAATCATCTGGAGGGCTCCTTAAGTCATTGATCGCCCAGTGTTTAAGGACTGAGCCAGTGGGAGTGAGTGTGAAAATCTGAGTATCTAAAAAGTTTCCAGGTGTTGCTGATGCTGCTGGTCCGGGGACACTTTAAGACCAGCGCCTTAAAAATCAAGCTCCTTTATTGGAGCTTGTTTTGAGCTCCCAGTTCAAAAAACTTCATTAGCTCCATACCCCGACAAAATTAATTACATATTCCTCAGCTTGCCTTTGAGGGCTTCCATTTAAAACCCCAACTGACTTTGCCAGGCTTGCCTCTAGTTATCCCTTCTGCCTTATTCTGTTACCACCTACAGCTCCAGGGCCCAGCCACTCAGGGCCTGATATGGTGTGAGCTTCCTGGGGAAGTTCTTCATCTCCTAAGCCTCAACTTCCTCATCTCCAGGATGGGCATATCATTCCGCTTGCAGGGCTATTGTGAAGATTAGCAACATGGACTAAATATGGGGTAATGCTTGGCAGAGGGCGGGTAGCTGGGTGGCTACAGTATTGTTATTTCTCTTGTCATTTAGACATATATCAGGTGCTATTTTCTTTTAAGAGCAAAGTAAACAGTTAAGTCACTAAAACACACACCCACACACTATGACACCCTAACCACAAGAAACTAGTTAAGAATTTTGACAATGAACAATCAGGGAAGGAATGAAAGATATTACAGAAAATCCCATTATGAGGGAACATGCTAAAAATGTTAAGATTTTGGCATGCAACTATTAAATATGTGAAGTGATTATTTTTCTTACTTTCTTCCTTTTTTAATTTCCTATAAGTCATACTTGCTCTCACCTGTTGATGAATGAGGAAAGTAATGTGACATAAATCACTTCCCAACAATTATGGTGGGTTTTTTGGTTGGGGGGGGGGTCAGGTCAGTTATTCAAACAGCTTGATAATATGGTGCTTAGTTTGGGGAAAACAGCACGATTCATGTTGCATCTTCTACTACACTAGAGCACTGTGTTTGTGCTATCTGAGCAGAGGTATAAAGAAACAGGTGAATCCTAAAACCTAGAAATTCACAGCAAAGAGGATAAGTATTAATATTACTATGTTTTGCTGTTAAAAGTAGAATAATGCTTCCACAGTTGGAACTAGGACTTAGAAGCAGATGGTTTTACGCAAGAAGACAATTTCCATAAAATAAAAAAATTAAAAATTGCTATAGGGTCTTTGGATATAATTTTGAATTACACTAAGAAAATGGAGGGGGGCGGTACCTGGGTGGCTCAGTCTGTTAAACATCGGACTTTTGATTTTGGCTTCGGTCATAATCTCAGGGCCATGAAATCGAGCCCCATGATGGCCTCCACACTGAGGATGGAGCCTGCTTAAGATTCTTTCCCTCTGCCCTTCCAACCCTCCCACCCCCGCATGCTTTCTTTCTCTTTCTCTCTCTCCCCCACCTCAAATAAATGAATCTTTTAAAAATAATAAAATTTAAGAAACTTACAGAAAAAGAAAATGGGGAAGAAATAATGGATACTGGTAACGGTAACAGCTAACAACTATTGAGTACTTTCTGTGTGCTCAGTAGTATTGTTTTGTATGAATTAACTTATTTTCACAACAATCCTATAAAATGGGTACTGTTACCCCATCCTCCGGGAAACCGAACCATAGAAAGATTTAAGTAGCTTGCTCAAGATAACAAAGCTGGTAAATGGTGGAGGAGGTCCTGGAGTCTAGACTGTTTACACAGCCCACATTCTCAACCACCAGGCTGTCCATTCTGTTGGTCATTCAGCAGGTAGGTAAAATCATGGCACTGATGCAAGTATGAAAATGTATCCATCTGCTGCACTGACAGCCTACTGAGTGTCCATTAGCAGAAAGAGGAGGATGCTGTTGTCAGCCAGTCCCGAGTTCCAGGTCTGGCTCTCATGGGTTATGCAACCTTGCGCAAGTGACTTAACCTCTGGAATTCAATTTCTTCACCTGAAAAATGAGAATGATAATATATATCTGACAGAGTTCCCGTGAGGATTCACTCATGCAACCTTTTTTTTTTTTTTAGTATTTATTAAATGCCAGGCATTGCGCTAGGTGCAAGGGACAAAAAAGTACCACAGAGCTCATATTCTTGAGTGAGAAGAACGGAAATCAAGTAATCACATGAACCAAGATATGATCACACAGGAAGCTGAGCTCTGACAGTCCACCTGTTGTGGGGAAAGGCAGGGCAATGAAGGCTGCCCCAAGGAAGCAAAGCGAAAGCTGAGAGATGAATAGGAACTAAATAGGTAAAAAGCACGACAGGCAGTGAGTGAACAGTAGCTTTGAAGGATACTATGAACTCTGGTCTTTCTCTTAAGAGCAACCAGAGGTCACTGGCAGATTCTGAGTAAGAATGACATAGATTGAATTAGATAATGGCTGGGAGTGCCTCGGCACAAGGCCCAGAGTGTAATAAGACCCCCACGCCTCCATTCCAAAAGTATCTCTGCTCTGACTCATTCCATTTTAATAATATGGCTGAATCAAGCATGCAAGACTCTTAGGAGACTATCACAGCCTTAGAGATCAATCAACACTTACTTGCTGTCCTACCCATTCCAGGACCCTGGCCAGACAAAGGAATACAAAGATGAATAACAGACCTTGATTTCATGGAATTTAAGAATCTAGTTAGGAAGACAAGATGATAGAAAGCTTCAGTGGTTCCCCTTCTTTTCAGGATGAAGTCCAAAATTCCTCAGCAGGTAGGTGGAGGCCCTTTTCGATATGCTGACTTGTCCCTTCTCCTCTTCTGCCACCACCACCACCACCACCACCGCCGCCGCCATGGCCACCACCGCTTAGCCACCAACCACCTTTTAGCACTTCTGGTCACAAGTTGCCCACTTCTGAAACTTTTGCATATGCTGCCCCCCCCCCTTTTTCCCCCCAGAATGCCCTTCCCAGCGTATCTAAGGATCAGTCCTATTCATCGAAGCTTTTACAAGGTGGCACCTATTCTCCTCCAGATAGCCCACCCTCACTTTCCTGGAGCAAGCCGCTCCCCTATTCTCACCTCTCCTTACAGCATTTATCACATTGCTACTGTCATGTTATTGGCATGTCTGACTCCCATCCTGGACTCGTTCCCAGAGGGCAGGAACTAAATTTGTTCTATTCATCTTTGCCATTAATTGACTAATTATTTTTCTGAAATAATACCTGACATAACTGGATTACCCCTCCCCCCAAAAAAGTAAGGGGAGGGCAGGTGGTAAAGCTGGGAGGAAGAAGAGGAGGGGGGAAGGGAGGGGATTATTGTAGGATATAGTAATCATCAGTGTATTTCAAAAATTAACCCCCCCCCTTTTCTGGTCAGTAAAATGCACATACAGTGAAACGTACAGATCTGAAGAATACAATTTTCAGTTCGGCAAGGGTATGCACTGGAGTGGTCGTAGCACTCCACACTC